CTCACTGCAACCTCCACCTCCTGGGTTCAAGCGATTCTCCTGTCTCAACCTCCTGAGTAGCTGGGATTACAGAGCACCTGCCACTACCCCTGGCTAATTTGTAGTATTTTTAGTAGAGATGGGGTTTCACCATGTTGCCCAGGCTGCTCTTGAAGTCCTGACCTCAGGTGATCTGCCTGCCTCGACCTCCCAAAGTGCTGAGATTACAGGAGACACCACTCCAGGCCTTGGTCCAGAGTTTTAAAACAGCAGCATGAAACCTCAATTATTAGTGATATTTATATGAGCTCAAGCAAGTTAGTAAACATACATGGTAACCAATCAAAACACATTTATCATCCCTTTGTGACCTCTCTCTTAGGCCATTTTCTCATATGTGTTCTTTGGGTGGTAACTACTTGTTGGTGACACTCATCATGAGTTGCTTATCACCGACGCCCTTTTTTACTAGCATCAGTAGAAGATGAGTGACAGACAACTGCATGGTTATTTTTGTTAGGCTGGAATTGTTAATAGTTAATAAAGAGAACATGTAAGAAATATTTGTAGTTCTGAGTCAAAGACATTGGATACTTTGTTTCATCCATCATAGGTTGCTTTGCCATCACAATCTGTAAATGTGGGGAGAAAGGGTTCTAAAGATGTTCATCCCTTTAATTAACTTTGAAGTCATATACACTTGGATTTGAACCCCAGCTCCATTGTTTAAGCAGTAACTGACCAGGGATAATTAACGTCTCTGATCCTCAGTTTCCTCACTTATAAAAAGAGAATTAACGGCTGCTCAAGGAATCAGCCAGCTTTTATCTTCCTGCTCTGCCATCTTTAGTGTGAGACTTTCAACTCTTTGATAAGAAGGTGGCTGTTTTATCTACAAGCGTTGCTTCTGAGTTCTAGGCAGGAAGAAGGGAGAAGAATGAAGGTTAAATGACATATGTTAGGTGAGTATGCTCCCTTTATCAAAATTCAATAGCTTTCTTAGAAGTCACATCTAGTAGACTTCTGCTCATCAGCCATACTAACCACCATTGGTTGCAAGGGAACTTTGAAAATTAATATTTTTTTTTTTTTTTTTTTTTTTTTTTTTGGCTGGGGACATTTCCATTCACCTGTATGGCAGAGTTTTAATGCTATAAATGGGAGAATGGCTACAGGGTGAAAAACAAAAACAACGAGCAGTATCTGTCACAGGGCTCAATAATTCAAAATATTATTTATATGTTGACTTTTATCTCAGCTAGTCCCTCTCTCCCTTGTCATAATATCCAAAATACTGGGCATATAGTGTGTGTGTATATGTGTGCGTGCATGCACATGTGTGTGTGCAGATGCATGCACATTCAATCTGGTTTCTTATACACTTCATAAAAAGCTAAAAAAATTTTTAAAAAGAGATAATGGCCGGGTACAGTGGCTCAAGCCTGTAATCCCAGCACTCTGGGAGGCTGAGGCGGGTGGATCACGAGGTCAAGATATCGAGACCATCCTGGTCAACATGGTGAAACCCCGTCTCTACTAAAGATACAAAAAATTAGCTGGGCATGGTGGCGCATGCCTGTAATCCCAGCTACTCAGGATGCTGAGGCAGGAGAATTGCCTGAACCCAGGAGGCGGAAGTTGCGGTGAGCCGAGATCGCGCCATTACACTTCAGCCTGGGTAACAAGAGTGAAACTCTGTCTCAAAAAAAAAAAAAAAAAAAAAGAGAGAGAAAGGATTTTTTTTTTTTTTTTTACAAAAATATGCTAAGAAAGTAACTTTTGGGTTTTCTTTATCCTGAAGATTTCTTTTTTTTTTAAAAAAGGCTGGTCAAGTGAAGTAGTGGGAGTGGAGAAGGAACAAAGAAATCTGTAACTGGTTGTGATCAATTTATCCTGAAGATTTCTACAGTAACAACAATCATTTTCATATCATAATAACTAAAATTTACTGAGAATTTACTATGTGCCAGACATTGTGCAAAGTATTTTATATTCACTGCTTCATCATGAAAACTCCATAATATAGACTTACAGTCCCTACCCTACAAATAGGGAACTGATGCTCAGATAAATTAATCCACTTAAGATTACATAGCTACTACACAGTGGAGCTAATATTTGAATTTGGATCTGTCTGATAGCAAAACTCCTGCTCTTGGTCACCATATTATGCCATCAGCTTGCAAGATGTCTAACACCTACTTCTGGGGACTCTTTCCACACTTTATTCTACATTTCAAATCTTGGTCTCACCATTTGACCCAATACTACAAAAATAACTGTCGTAGATAAGAATCATCAAGAATTCTAAAATTAGTGGGAAAAGTATGATGAGAAACAGGATATATGCATATTTTCAAAGTATCTCCATACATGATTCTTATTAATTACAAAGAGAATAAGAGTAACTTTATAGTGGAGAAATCAGGCACACATCACCATAACCAAGTAATCAAAGTTAACATCACTAGTAATGAGATATACCAACATCATGTGATTCCAGAAATGATGCACTGAGAAGGGCACAGCATTACATAATGTGGTATTCTTATGGAAAATGCATAACCTGAATTTAATCATGCGAATACCAGACATACCCACTTTAAGGGACATTCTACAAAACAACTAGCTAGTTCTCTCTTTAAGGGTCAATGTCATGAAAGTCAAAGAAAAAATGAGGGAATGTGTTAGACTGAAAGAAACTAAGAAAATGTGACCATTAAGTGCAATGTATAAATTGGATCTAGGTCCATAAAAAGAACATTAGTGTGACAATTAGTAAAATTTGGGTAAGGCCTGTATATTAGTTAATAGTATGATATCAAAGTTAATTTCCTGGTTTTTATAATTGTACTATTATGTAGAGTGAAAAATATATGAGAACTGTTTTATCCTTTTTTTGCTGACAGGTTTTCTTTTGCATCTTTTTTATAAGTCTGAAATCATTTCAAAATTAAAAGTTAAAAAAACTTATCTCCTAGTTGACTTGTTTACTTACTAAAATTATGTCTGAACTAAAAGTAAATGGACTCTAAGTATATCTCCAGCAGCTTTCTCATCTGCTCTGCATTTTGTGTTCTGTCTCTCTCTAATAGGGTGCCGTGTTTAATGGTGCCACATCTGAGAGAGAGCTATTTACACCCTAGATAGCATACATTTGTATGTTCATTATGAAAATTTTCTGGCAAATGAAAGAAAAATATTTTGTTCTAACAAAATTAATACATTATGACAGTTTGCCATCATGTAAAAGTAGTGCCTTGGGAAGAAGTTTTAAAAAATTTACATAAAAGAACTGTATGGGCTAGCCGTGGCCCTGCATTCTATCCCTTCCAAAGCCACCATCAAGGTACAAACCTCTCCTCCTCTACATTAGACCTAGTCACATACTATCTCCTGGCAAGAAGAGATAACCCCTTTCCTCATCATTCCTTCAGCAACTGAATGGAAACCTCGCAGGACTTTAAAATATCCTGAGGAGTGACATCCTCAGGCCGGCTGTTGAAAGACAACATTGACCAGCCAATGTGTAAAGAGGAAATTTAGCAGGAGCTCTTGTTAGACCTCAGAGTTATAATGTAGGTGATTCTAAAACTTTCCTCCAAGTTTCCTGAACAGCAGGGGAGAATTATATCAGGTTGGATGCTTTGGGCTGCAAGTAACAGAAAACTTAGCTTAAACTAGCTTAAACAATGAAGTTTACTAACAGACCATCCTGAGCTCAGAAGGGTTCCAGGCCCAATGCTATAAGGACTCCATTCCATTTCTTTGATATTCTCTTGGGTGTATCAGGTTTGTCTTGAGATTAAGGCCCTAACTAGTAAGCAAGGGCTTTCAGCAACAAATAGGTATACGTGTTTCTTTGTTCACGTATTATAGAAGAAAAACAAAACCTTTTACCCAGCCATACTACAGAAACCTTTCCCTTCCGTCTGACTGGGCCAACTTAAGTCACATGACCACTCTACCAATAACACTCCCCAGGGGAAAGTCATATATGAAATGAATAAAGTCTGAGTTTGAAAACCATTCACTGGTAAGGTGGTATTACCATGAGTGGTTAAGAGCAAGGAAGATACATTTCTAAAGCTGGTGATAAGATTAAATTCCTTTGAGTTATGGGCCTTGTGAAAGAAGAGTAGACACCTAAAGAAAACCAGGGCTTTGTCAGTGAAAGGAATGGGAGCAATGGACGCTGAGGAAGTGAATTCCCACCCTTGTGAATCTACAGTGTTGGTCCAACAGAACCCTCTACCAGCAGAATATTTCTTTGATATCTCTCTTTTCAAAAAAAGGGTTATACCACTGTGGAAAACAGTATGTAGGTTCCTCAAAAAATTAAAAGTAGAACCACCATATGATTGAATAATTCCATCTCTGAATATATACCCAAAAGAATTAAAAACAGAATTTCAGAGATATTTCCACACTCATGTTCATAACAGCATTATTCATGACAGTGAAGAGGTGGATGCAGCCCAACTATACATCAACAGATGAATGGATAAACAAAATGTGGAAGTATATATACACATGGAATATTATAAAACGGAAGGAAATGTTGTCATGTGCTACAACATGGATGAGTCCAGAAGACATTAAGCTAAGTGAATTAAGACAGTCAGGCACAAGATGACAAACACTATAATCCATTTATATGAAGTATACTCATAGAAACAAAAAGTAGAATGGTTATTACCAGAGGCTAGCCAGGGAAGTGGCTGGGAGTGGAGAAGTAGAAGTGGAGAGTAATTGTTTCATGGGTATAATGGTTCAGATTTGCAAGATGAAAATGTTCTGGAGATCTGTTCCACAACAATGTGTACATGATTAACACTACGGAACTGTACATTTAAAAATGGTTAAGATGGTAAATTTTATATTGTCTTCTTAATCACAATGAGGTTACAAAAGCCCCTTTATAAATCATGTTTCCAGTAAAAAAGAAAAAGATACAGAAAAGGAATAAAACCAACTTCAAATAATGCAAAAAGAGAAAATAAAGGAAAACAATGCCAAAATATTGAACAAGAAGAGTTTCTTGTTTTATTATCTAAAATACAATCAAAGGATAGACAGACTTAAAATAGAGCAGGATGTAGATATACGGTTCTAGAAATCCTTCAGTGAAAGCAAGTCAAGGTTTTGTTTGTTTTCTTAACTAATTCATACAGACACTGCTTTCTTTTGTATACCTCCAAAAGATGTAAAATTAAGTATCACAGAAGACACCACATAGTTCTATCCATACAGGTTGCATCTATAATTCACAAATATATCAACAAAATAGTTTTCAACCACATATCATTTAATTTTTTTAATTATTTTCAACAAAATAGTTTTCAACCACATATCATTTAATTTTTTAAATTATTTTCAACCACATATCATATAATTTTTTAAATTATTTTCAACAAAATAGTTTTCAACCACATTTCATTTGAATTTTAAAATTATTTTCCTAGTTTATCATAAAATTTCATAGACATTTCTAATTATATTTTATAATATATCAGAATTAGGTCTATTTTACAATGAATCTCTGTTTCTGATTTTGTGGAAAATTTATGAGTCTAAGAAGATATTTATCCTCTGGTATACAGAAATTCCTGGCACTTAGCCACATACACCAATGTTAGTTTGAGAGGCAAAGCACAGGAATGAATTTTCTAGAAGACAATCCTTTCTGTGTACAATAATAGGGAACTAGTTAAGTAAATAATGCAGCCACATGAACAATTATTAGACAGCCATTAATGAGGATTATGAAGTCTATTCATTAAATGGGAGAAATACAATAATAAGTAAAAAAAAAAATAAACAGGATAGTACATAAATACTGTCTGAACATGACTATAAAAGAAACAGGCTGGGTGTGGTGGCTCACGCCTGTAATCCCAGTACTTTGGGAGGCCACGGTGGGTGGATCACCTAAGGTCAGGAGTTTGAGACCAGCTTGACCAACATGGTGAAACCTCGTCTCTACTAAAAACAGAAAAACTAGCCAGGCATGGTAGCGCACACCTGTAATCAAAGCTACTAGGGAGGCTGAGGCATAAGAATCACTTGAACCTGGGAGGTAGAGGTTGCAGTGAGCCAAGATCATGCCACTGCACTCCAGCCTAGGCAACAGAGGAAGACTTCATCTCAAAAAAAGAAAAGAAACAGACATTAACAATAGTCAAAATTTGAAAAAATATATAGGAAAACACTCCAAAAGAAATAGAATTAATAGATCAAAATGTTAGCAATGGTAGTCTTTGGGTGGTGGGTCTTTGGAGAGTTATTCTTTCTACCTTTGCTTTTTCTTTTTTCACACCCCACAACACATCTAAAATGTTTACTGGGAGAAAAAAATGAACTGGGGTAAACAAAATACTGTGAGTCCAAAGGTATCACTTATGAAAACCTCAACTTTATTACTTCTCTTTTGGCTGTTCAGAGGATCCACACCACCACCTCCAACCTGCATTTTTTATTTTTAACATGTTTTTATTAGTTGAGGTCAATATAAAAATACTACTGTAAACATAAAAATAATGACAGATGTAAAATTAAGTGGCTCTGTTTTTTCAGCGACTTGACTCCTTTTGCTATTTAAACTTTTATTTCTGAGTAATAAATTCATATTATATTGCAAAAGATAATTTAGAACAAAATGAGCTTCTTGGTTGTTTGAAACAGTATTAAAATAAGCCTTCTACTTGGAAATATGAAAATTATTGTTCAAAAAGCTATATAGTAGGTGCTTAAACAACATGAGTTTGAATTGTTTGGGTCCACTTATACACCGATTTTCTTCCACTTCTGCCATCCCTGAGATAGCAAGACCAACCTCTCCTCCTCCTCTTCAGCCTACTCAATGTAAAGATGAAGAGGATGAAGACTTTTATGATGATCCATTTCCACTTAATAAATAGTAAATATATTTTCTCCTCCTTGTGATTTTCTTAATATTTTATTTTCTCTAGCTTACTTTATTGTAAGAATATTTTGTTTGAAAAGTAGTATATCTGTTAAAAATATTTTAAAACTTCTACAGAAATATTAGATCAAGATGATAATATAAACAAATGTGTATTTGTCCAGTCTTCTTCCTTTCCTGACTCAAATGCTATATGTATACATATATACACATAGATACGTGATATTTGAAAGTCATGCCGACTTAGAAGACAAATGGCTGTAAATGTACCAAACATTCTGGAGGAACTGTGGAAAGATAGAAGGATTTGGGATAACACTGGAGGAGGGAACTACTGCCCCAAATTCATGAGGAGGGCACCTGTAAATCAGGAGACAGCCTTCAGTATTGCTCCAAGCTTGGGGAAAGCAGATATGGGGACCAAGAGGCAGTCCCAAATCAATATTCAGTGTTATTTTTGTAATGTCACAGTAGTAGGAACAATCAGACATTCCTCCTTTCATCCTTTCACTTGTGCTATGCAGGAAGCAGCAAAAGCAGTTCCGGCAAATAAGGACACTTGCATATTACAAGCTGGGAGTACTCAATGGGCATGTGTACCACCAAAAGAAAGTGGGGGTTTCCATGCCCAGAAGATGAGCTGATGACCCCCTTAGCTTGGTGGTATCTCCTATCTTGCCTCTGTAACCACAGGAAGCAGAACACAACACACAGATAAGTACTCCCAGACAGACAGGCAGATTAGCAGGTAACTAAAAATGTAAACCTAAGGACACAGCAAAGAATCACCACACATTTGAGGAAAATTTTAGAGGAGTTCCAGAAGGAGAGAATGGTGGGAATGGATAAGAGACGGAATATACAAAGAATAAAGAAGAAAATATTATTAATCAAAGAAATAAAACTGCCAGTGAAAGGGCCCATGAGCTATTTAAAATAAATAGAAAAACAAATTGAAAACTCCAGATCATACCTTGACATTTCATGGTAAAGTTTGAGAAACCTAAAGAGAAGGATCCTAATACTCTCAAAAGAAAACAAAACCAAACAAAAACTGATTACTTAACAAAAAAAAGGAGGCTTTTAAGATAATCTAACGATATTCTGAAAGTATAAAATGAGAAAATGTTTAGATATGCCATCATTTAAAGAAAACAACTAAATAGACTCATAAGATCCTAACAACCTTAGGAATGTAACATAGAGAAAACAGAAGTGTTATTTAAACCTAAACTGGCCATAGTAACATCTGATATCCAAAGATGGTGGCTGTGACAAAATTCACATGAATGAGGAAATCAGTCTTTATTCTGATCTTCTCTTCTCAGGATCTGGGAAATGGAGAAAGAAAAGCCCCAAATTATGAAACCTCTGCCGGTTCCTCTGGGCTGCTAAAGGAGAGACCTGGACTACACCACTCCGTGTTTCAACATATTAACGAGTTTTTGATATACAAAGGTAGGCCCCCAGTTAGTGGAGGAGACACAAGTCATTCTGCGTAATAAATTGAGAAGGATGACCCTGGGGAAGGCTGGAGGTTGAGAGGTGTGGAATGAGATGGGTTTGCATATCATAGCTGGAGTCTGAACCTGCAGAAAACGGTGGCTAGGAAGGAGGCATTCCCTTCAGATGGGGTGGCCAAAAGGCTGTTTATTTTCAAAACATCATTTAACTTTTTACTGTGAACAAACTTTAAGCTGATGAAAAAGATGCAAAAATAGTATAGTGGGTTTTCCATACACCCCTCGCACAGCTTCCCTAATTGTTAACACATTACAAAAATCACAGTGCTATTATTAGAACCAGGAAATCCACATTGGTATATTACTTATTATACTAAAGCTCTAATTTGAATTTTGTCAGTTTTTCCATCAGTGTCCTTTTTCTGTTCCAGAATCCTACATAGAATCCCACATTGTATTTAGTTGTTATTTCATCTCAGTCTCCTGTAGACTGTAATAGTTTCTTAGTCCTTCCTTCTCTTTCATGACCTTGATACTTCTGAAGAGTATTGATCAGTTATTTTGTTCAATGTCCCTCAAATTGGATTTTCTTTTCTTTTTGTAATTTTTTACAGACAGGGTCTTGCTCTGTCACCCAGGATGGGTGCAGTGGTATGATTATAGCTCACTATAACCTTGAATTGCTGCTCGTGACCCTCCCACTTCAGCTTCCTGAGTAGCTGGGAGTACAGGAAGGTGCTATCATGCCCTGCTAATTATTTTTATTTTTAGTAGAGATGAAGTCTTGCCACATTGCTCAGGCTGGACTCAAACTCTATGCCTCAAGCTATCCTCCCACCTCAGCCTCCCAAAAACTGGGATTACAGGCATGCACAACTGTGCCAAACAAGTTTTCTTCTTATTGGATTGAGTTTATACATTTTTGGCAAGAATACCAAAGAAATGATACTGCATCCTCATGTAATGGGATAGGTGCATCATATAATGTGATTAATCATTGTTGTATTACTAGTGATGTTGACCTACCACTTGATTAAGGAGGTTTTTGCTGAGTTTCTCCACCGTAATATTATTTTTCTCTGGATAGCAAATCAATGTCTGGAGAAGATGTGTTGAGACTGTGCAATCTGTTTTAACTCAAACTTTCACTCACAGATTTTAGCATCAATCTATTCCATCTATATATTCTTTCTGCTACAATTATCATTGTGGTGTTTGCTTAGTGGTGATTTTCTATTTCTCTCTATCATTCTACCTTTATTCGTTGGCTTTCTTCTGCAGTGGGCAGATCTGGGCAAACGTGCCCCAAAGTCTGAGGAAGCTGAGAGGCCAAAGAAAGATGCTGACAAATCCAGTTTCTTTTTAGAAAGAAACATTTAATAAAACAACCAGTTTCTTAGAAAGAAACATTAAATGAGGCCGGGCGCGGTGGCTCACGCCTGTAATCCCAGCACTTTGGGAGGCCGAGGTGGGTGGATCGAAGTCGAGAAATCGAGACCATCCTGGTCAACATGGTGAAACCCCGTCTCTACTAAAAATACAAAAAAAATTAGCTGGGCACAGTGGTGCGTGCCTGTAATCCCAGCAACTCAGGAGGCTGAGGCAGGAGAATTGTCTGAACCCGGGAGGCAGAGGTTGCGGTGAGCTGAGATTGCACTCCAGCCTGAGTAACAAGAGCGAAACTCCGTCTCAAAAAAAAAAAAAGAAACACTAAATGAACAGAATGGACACAAGATGAGATGGTTGGTCTGCTTCCCACCTCATAAGACCGCCAAGACCCAGGCCTTATATTACCATAAAGAAGGGGTAGTTCAGAAAGGATGTGTAGAATAATTGAAGTATGATAACATCAAGGTTGTTTAGCCTAAGGTCAGGATTTAAGGTAAGTGCCTGCTCTTACACAAAAACAACAGATAAACTAGAAATCTTAGAGGCCCTCCCAGAACAGGGGTTAATCAGAAGTCAGCATGGTAGAGCATCATCCAAGATGGAGTTGCTTTAGCCACCACAGAATTCTACTCTAAGAAAAAGCAGTCCCTTCTTTCCCACTTATTTATTTAATCAATTACTTAAATATATGGTGACAGGAATATTTATTTTACCATGTGGGTTATAATCCACTATGGTCAATATGGTTATTATTTAGCTTATTGTTCAAATTGTTCCAGCTTTGGTCTTTTGGAGATTCTTTAGGTTGATGCCTATGTACCTTTGACAAATCTTACTTGGTGTTAAAGCATTTCCTTACTTTCTGGCACTGTGAGATATTCCAGGCTCATCTTGTACTTTCCCTGACATGCCTGGGACCAACAACTTCTTGAAGGAACCCTGGTTGCTTTTATTTAAGAATAGTATTTAAAAATCAAATCTGGGTACTAGGTAAGCTTATTATTACTGGAGTATCATTGCTTTTAGGCTCTATCACTAGGCATATATGCCTATATACTATCCCCTGTGTGTACATACTTCTGTATTTCTGTATCTAACCATGTATATGTACTAAAATGATGAGTTGCCAGGTACAGTGGCTCATGCCTGTAATCCCAGAATTTCTGGAGGCAGAAGTGGGAGGATCTCTCAAGGCCAAGAGTTTGAGAACAGCCTGGGCACATAGTGAGACCCTGTCTCTACAAAAAAAAAAAAAAGAAAATTAGCCAGGTGTGGTGGCATGCACCTGTAGTCCCAGCTACTTGGGAGGCTGAGGTGGGAGGCTCACTTGAGCCCAGGAATTTGAGGCTGCAGTGAGCTATCATCATGCCACTGCACTCCAGTCTGGGTGACAGAGTGAGACTCTGTCTCTAAAAATATAAAAATTATGAGTTCATACTAATATATTAGATTCCAATCAATATCAGAGGGTTTATTTCATTTGAAGTTTTTTTTTAATTATTTTAAAATTTTTTTTAGGCTAGTCAAGTGAAGCAGTGGGAGTGGAGAAGGAACAAAGAATTGAAGGAGTTTTAAAGACAGGAGTGTCTGAAGTTAAATGTCTGGTTTATGTGAAAGAACTCTTTCCATCATCACAGCCTTTTAATTGTGACCAATATACACACACAAATGGGTTGCATGTACATCAAGGAAAAGGGGTCCCTGTCCATGGATGGAGCAATATAATGCAGAATAAGAATATGAGATTGTGAGATCATTTATAAATTACACTAACTGAGCAAAGCAAAAGGTCTGAACCAAAGGTAAACAGGAAAATTTAAGGCCCCCATAAGGGACAGATGGCATATGTTCTGCCATTTCTACTTTCTGTACCAATGGCAGATGTCAACAAATGACCACCACACACTAAGCCAAAACATGGCTCCAAATTTTCAGACATGCATTTCAGGCAGTCACTACCAAGCAACTGGAATTCACACTATGGATGACTCCCATCCCTAGGTTAAATAAATGAACAGCTAATGTAAACCATATTAGTTTGGAGAAGAGAGAGAACATCATCCATCATTAGAATTTTGCACAAATTACAGAAAAAGCCTGATCCAACATGGTGAGTGATGTTCAAAAATTCAATGACCTGAGACTAGTTCCTAGGGTTTGGCTCATGATACAAGGTTTAGTATCACCTGGTGGCCAATTCTTCATTTTAGTTTAGGTATCAGTGGGGAAGACTGTTAATCAGGTGCCTAGTTGAGATTTCCAAGTCAGCATAGTGACTCCAGGCATCTTCCAGTTGAATGGGACTTATTTCTATGACTGATCCTAAAAGAATGGAATGGATAATATTGTGGACAAAGGACCCACCCTCCACTTTCCTACTTACCAAGATGGAGTTGCTGCTCTTTCTCTCCCCTCTGGGATTCTCTCTGCTTTCCAAGTCAAGTCTCTCCTGTGCAAGTTTAGCTCACCCCAATTGAAGAAATATGTTGTGTAGAGAATGGGAGCCAATCACCAGTCGGGTCATATATGAATTTACATGATGGTGAAGGTTTCTTACACCTGGTAAGAGTAGCGGGCAGAAAGCTGCAGCATGAGCTAATGGGAAATAAGAGGAGCAACTATGATGGAAAAATGGTGAGAACAATAGAGAAGGTAGATCCTCTGGCAGAGGGACTGCAGGATAATGCTTACCCTTGGACCTGTGAGTAGAAAGTCCCAGAAGATAAGAGGATAAGCTAAATGCAGTGTAGAAAATCTGGCTTTGTCAAATAAAATAGAATTCATATGGAAAATGCTCACAATATAGTGTTAACTAAAAGTAATGTGGCCAAAAAACCCTGTGAATATAGTTTGATCCCTAAGTGTGTGTGTGTTTTCTTTAAATGTGTTATATGCCTACTATGGTAAGATGGCAAGGACAGGGTAGAGAACAGGAATGAATGGACATGGTTTCTGCCATTGTAAGGCTGACATTTAATATAATAGATAGCTTTTAAAGTAAACAAATGTTAAGAGTGATTATATCACTGGTTGTAACATTAGGGATGAATTTATTTTCTTCTTTATAAATTGTTGTATTTTCCATGTTTTCTACAAGAATGACGTATGCCTTTTATAATGAGAGAAAAGCAACACATCTTATATTTTAAATGAACAAACATTACAAAAAAATAAAACAAAACAAAGAAGACCAGGCTGCAGGAATCAATTCACATTCATTAGACTAATAACAGCTTTGTTTACAAAACAGAATATCAATTTTATGTATGCAGCTATGTTTAAGATCTTACAGTAGTAGCTGAAGTTATACAAAGAGGGTTAAAAACCAGTCTTTACTCACAAGAGAGATTCAATTATTCTTTGAGTGGTGCTTGTGGCACAGGGAGCTGAAGGGATAGTTAGCAGCAGATAAAAAAAAATTATGTTTCTTTGATTAATAAAATAAGGGCTAGCTAGGTGGGTTCATATTTTATCAACATGCAGTTTAATTTGATGTAGCATAACATTTTCTATCCTCTGATTTTCAAAATGTTTCCATTCTTGGATGAAGATTTAGGAGATACTCTAACACACTTTACCAGCAGCACATTGCCAAAGCGTCTCTTAGAATAATAAAACTTGAAGAATGCTTATCATTACCTATGCTATGTCAACTTGCTAACTTCAATGTCAGAGTTTGTCTTACATTTTAAAAGCAGAGTAATAGAATATTAATAATAGCAACTACACTTAATGGGCATTTACTTTGTGCCAGACATTTTACATTGATCATTTCACTGGATCATTCACAACGAAAAAGAATCACAGGTCTATAATCTCTTATTTATAACTCTGGGGACTGGATATGTTTGGAAATGAGAATTTTTTGGAATTCAGGAAGAAATTGGAATCCTTTGGAATATAGTATATAAATTGCATATTTTGTAACATTCCAAATAGGCAGAGAACTGTACTATGTAATGAAACACATTAATCTTACTATTTCTGCAAATAAATATAAGAAAATTCACACGAAGTGAAACAAAACCATAATAATATTGCAATTTATTTACAAAAATATATTAGTAAATTTATTTGTAGATAAAGTTTTTAAATAAATAAGTTTATTAGTAAATGAAATAGCAGGATATAGATCACACATACCATAAGCTTTTAATGTGTTTTGTCACTTGTGGAAAACTTCTTATTTCTAAGGAAATTTTAAGTAAAATTTAAAAACTTACACTGATGAAAATCAACCTATATTACATATACATGCAATGTATGTTCATTACCTCTGATTTCCTGAGAATCTTAAAGAGTTTGTTCCAGTTCTTCATGGAATATTCTAGCTTGTTTCATGACCAACAAACCCGTCGGTGGTGTATCTTTACTTCTTCGTTGTCAAATTCATTGAATGAACACACAGTCAAGATCTTCATTTTTGGCTCTATGCAATGTTTTTCTGTTTTTCATTAGTACTTGGTTATCGTTGTCACTATAAAATTTCCACAACTTGTCTGTTTTTTTTTTAGACGGGGTCTCACTCTGTCACCAGGCTGGCGTGAAATGGTATGATCTTGGTTCACTGAGACAGTCTTACTCAGTCGCCTAGGCTGCAGTGCAATGGTGGGATCTTGGCTCACTGCAGCCTCCGCCTCCTGGGTTCAAGTGATTCTCCTGCCTCAGCCTCCCAAGTAGCTGGGATTACAGGCACGCACCTCCACACCTGGCTAATTTTTGTATTTTTAGTAGAGATGGGGTTTCACCATGGTCAGGCTGGTCTTGAACCCCTGACCTCAAGTGATCCTCCTGCCGTGGCTTCCCAAAGCGTTGGGATTACAGGTGTGAGCCACTGTGCCCAGCCCTTTGTTTCTTTAAGTCATATACTGTGGTGGTTCCCACACCATATTCTTCAGTAACACACCTCACAGACATACCACCATCAAGCACAGTTCTATAAAACAAAAAGTTCTATTTTATAAAACACAGTTCTATTGCACAATCGATCTGCAATAACTCTACTTTCTGAACTATTGATAAAGACAGATGCTTCCTTTTCTTCTCACTGTTACCCATAGGTATATCTTTAGCTCTTTTTGATATTTTCCATGGAATTAGTCCTCAGGTCAGAAAATGTCAGCAAATCACAGAGGCATGTGTGACTGATGGATACAAGTGCTGAGACAATAGAGGCTTCATATTTGTTTATAGTCGGGTTTTTTTTTTACCATATAATCCTGGTGCCAAACTCATAAAAACACTTTTGGGTGTCACAGTGTTTTTGTTTTTTGTTCTGTTTTGGAATTGCAGAGTAGAGACTGTAGACCTGCATTAAAAATATCATTTTAATGATGAAAAGACTGAGGCTCAGTTAGTACCTTGCTCAAGGTTATGCAGCTATTACTTGTCTTTTCTGCTTATAGTTAGTCTCCTAAAATTTGGTCACTTTGCTAGACAGAAAAATGTTTGTTTTTCTGGTATTGTCTGTCAAGATGATTTGAGTTGGAATATTTTTAGCACAGGAACCTCATACTCTTGGCCATTTGATTGACACAGTCAGTAGCTAAGCCCAAATGCTGAATAACATGGAGATGCTGTGGCAAGAGGTTAGAGTTCCTAAATTTATAGTTATTGAATATAGATTTTTCTTTTTATACCAAATGATCTGTTTGGTACTTACTGCCTGGTTACTTATTGCTTCACAATGAGCAAATCAGGAAAAATGAAAGAGCTCACTGCAGATGTCCCAAACACTCCCACAAGTTTTCCGTAAATATCCACTCATTTAAAAGGCTTTTTTTTTGTGCTGGGTGCGGTGGCTCCCACCTGTAATTCCAGCACTTTGGGAGGCCGAGGCGGGCGGATCACAAGGTCAAGAGTTTCAAAGCAACCTAACCAACATGATGAAACCCGTCTCTACTAAAAATACAAAAATTAGCTGGGTGTGGTGGCACATGCGTGTAATCCCAGCTACTGAGGAGGCTGAGGCAAGAGAATTTTTTGAACCCAGGAGATGGAGGTTGCAGTGAGCCAAGATCGTGCCAGGGCACTCCAGCCTGGGTGACAGAGACTCCATCTCAAAAAGAAAAGGCATTTTTGTTTGAGTGTTTCTAAACTGTTCTGAAAATTGTACATCCCAACTGTGACTCAGAATTGTTAATCAAGTTCAGAATTAAAACACATTTTAGACATTCTAATAAAATGTTTCTTTTAACTTATAATTTAGAAAGAATTCATTAGAATTTTTAATGACTTTTAAGCTTCTGTGGTTTGAGCCTTATTTCATGTACTCTTTTATAAGTTCCTCTTGGAAGGCCAGCTTTTCTTCATCATTCTTATCTTCCCCAAATTTGTTTAGATCTTCCTCAAATGTCTAATATGAACTGCTACAAATGTCTGAAGATTATGAAAGCACTTCTAAGTCTTTCTCTCTTTATCTATCGGGTTTAAGAGCAGTCCTTTGGCTGGACTGTTAGAAAAATGAGTAAAGCACAGTTCTATAAAACAAAAAATAAAACTCTAGACCCCCCCAACTAACTGAATGGATCCCTCTCTTGGCCAAGGGCATTCCAAAGTAAACCTGAAAAACTAGTTCAGGCCATGATGGGAAGGGGTGGTGGGTGGGCATACCTCATTATCCCCCCCCTTTTGGAATTCAGGCACAACCAATCAGCGTTAACATTAAAACGGAGATCTTAAGATTGACAAAACAGACTCTTTGTAGCAATAAGATACCAAAAAATATACATGTGACTCTGGTATAGAATCACGTGACAGCAGGTCCTGAAAGAAACTAAAGTATTTTACCCCAAAATATATTTCTTTGACATATTTTGAAATGGCTCTGCAAAGCTGTCTTTTGTGGGGGAAAGGATTCTATAGAAAATCCTTTTTCTTTTCCAGATATTTTCCTGATCCAGGAGAGACTAACTAAAGGTCTTACATAATACCTTTTTAGGTCTGATAAGAGACATTTGCCATTTATTCTCTCTGAAGCATACTACTTGGAATCTTCATCTGCATAATAAGAATCTTGGTCTCCACAACCCCTTATTTTAACCCAGATATTCCTTTCCATTGATTCCAGGTCTTTAGATAATAATTGAAAACTCTTTCAACCTATTGTCAATTAGAAACTGTTGGAATCCACCTATGACCTGGAAGCCTCCCTGCACTGTTGGCTCCCAATTTGACTTGTTCCACCCTTTCAGACTGAACCAATGGACACCTTACATATATTGATGTCTGCCTGTAACTGCTGCCCCTCTAAAATGTATAAAATCAAGTTGTAACCCAACCATCTTGGGCACATGTTCTCAGGACACTTTGAGGCTGTGCCTCAGGCCTTGGTCACTCATATTTGGCTTATAATAGATCCCGTCAAATATTTTCCAGGATTTGACTCTTTTTCATTAACAGTATAATTCAGAAGAGTTTCACTTCTAGTAAATAATTGGGTATTATGTAGAATACTTGATTGATACCATTACTATACAACAAACACCCATGACATGCAATTTACTCATGAAAGAATCCTGCACATGTACCCCTTGTGCCTAAAATACAAGTTGGGAAGAAAAAAAAATAGTAAATATGAGAAATGTATAATACTGAGAAAATAAAAATAGAGCAGTTGACCTATGTGAAGTATGCAAAACTTATCAGGCCCAGAGAAAAATGAGTGTGAGACTTCAGCATTACCTGACCCCCTCTATTTAGGAGGGAAACTGTTTAAAGGCATTTTGTTCCTGACTAGCTGTATCATCCATTATCTTCATGTTCCTGGACTTTATGATACCAAACAACAATGTATAGTCAATCATTAGTGTATGCTATTTTAATATAAATTATTGGAGAACAACTTAAGAACTAACCTCTTCTTTTCCTTTAAACTCACTTTTTACTGCTGCTCATTGGAGTATAATTCAGGTATGCTTTTGAGTTATAGTCCTCAAGCTTAGCTCAAATAAATTCTTTACTTATAATGTTTGCTTCCATTTTTTTCCCCTTTAGGTCAATAAAATCCAGTGAGGATTCTCTCCCTGAGGAAAGGAAGAGATCATATTTTGTTTGGTGGGGTTATATCACTCTCATATTATTTTTATACATTAGTCCTTCCTATTACATTGCAATAAGAGCTACAGTTTATTGGGTATATTCTGTGGGTCAGGTTGGCACATAAAGAAACTAATTTTTTTTTTTTTTTTTTGAGAGTTTCGTTCTTGTTACCCAGGCTGGAGTGCAATGGCGCCATCTCGGCTCACCGCAACCTCTGCCTCCTGGGTTCAGGCAATTCTCCTGCCTCAGCCTCCCCAGTAGCTGGGATTACAGGCACGTGCCACCATGCCCAGCTAATTTTTTGTATTTTTAGTAGAGATGGGGTTTCACCATGTAGACCAGGATGGTCTCAATCTGTTGACCTCGTGATCCACCCGCCTTGGCCTCCCAAAGTGCTGGGATTACAGGCGTGAGCCACCGCGCCCGGCCAAAGAAGCTAATATTTAAGAAGCATTAGACTTAGAGAGTTGGCTCCCCTTTGCCCAGTATTAGAAACTCCTGAATGCCAGAGTCCAGAATCCACCCATCTATTTGAGTATAAGGCCCTACATACTTTCCCCTCTTATTTCAACATACTCTTTCCTTTGCCATGAGCACACATTTTGTATTCCTCTCACTTCACTATAATCCTTTCTCCTGTTTTTTCTTTTGAGATGGAGTCTTGCTCTGTCACCAGGCTGAAGAACACTGACGCAATCTCAGCTCACTGCAACCTCTGACTCCTGGGTTCAAGCCATTCTCCTGCCTCAGCCTCCCATGTAGCTGGGATTATGGACGTCCGTCACCATGCCCAGCTAATTTTTTGTATTTTTAGTAGAGACGAGGTCTCACCATGTTGACCAGGATGGTCTCCATCTCCTGACCTCGTGATTCACCTGCCTTGGCCTCCCAAAGTGCTTGGATTACAGGTGTGAGCCACCATGCCCGGCTTCTTTCTCCCACTTAAGAAAGGCATACCCTCACTTATCCACAACCTTATGGTGTATTATCTCAAGGAGTAAAAATCTCCTAGTTGCCCAGTTTGGATATGGTGAAATATATATTTAGCCTTTGTTTTGTTTCCTGGCATACAACTCCTAACATCTTTGGAATTGTTGGGGCTCAGAAACTGATAACCCAAATATGGTACTTTGATATGCTGAATTAAAGCAGCAGCCTCAAGGTCTGTCTAGCCTTCCCTCCCTCCACTCTTCAACCTTCTCTCTCTCAAAGGACAGTTTAAGGCTGTTCTCTAAAGTTTCCTTTTCTACCTAGAAACTAACCCCCCAAGGAGGAATACAATTGCCTTCCTTCCCCTCCTTACTTATCCTCTCACTATTTATCACAGAAAAGTAGGCTAAGAAATGCAATCACTTCTGATAGCCTTTTTTTTTTTAACAAGAAAATGTCTGCCTCTCAAGATCATTCAAATTTCAGAGAGAATCACTTACAAGTTAATTGTTGTCTCCTGGGTCCATTCATTTCCGCTGACAATAATTTACTTCTATACCCCTCTACTTCTCTCTCCCCAGTGAAGAGGGTATTCATTCATCTGGCTCTTAATTCTCGAGTTTTCATGTTTCGCCTAACTCCTGTGTACAAGTGCATACACAATAAATTTGTCATGCCTTACTTTTGTTGGTCATGATGAACCTTTATGATGGGGAGAAAAGGGATTGACCACTTTCTGCCCCTATGGTTCTGGTGACAAAGATATGATAGCTGAGACACCTGACTCACTCTGAAGCCTGCAAATGAGGTCCTGGGATGGCTAACAACAATCAGCAAAAAACCAAAAAAAGGGTAAGAATTTTTACCAAGGTCAGTTCTATGAGACCTTTAGCTATAATGCCTGTTTGAGAATGGAAGATAAAGTTCTCCTTTTCCCTTCCTTTCCAAATTCGGTTTGGCAGGAGAAACTCATTTGTGTGGATGGTGATTCTTGTGTAAATCTGATTTTGGGGTAACCAATTGTTATTGGTTCTTTTCCTTCCTATGGATAGCTATTTTCCTGTTTGTCTCATTTTGTGACCTAAGAACTCTGCTTGGCTTGCCACCTATCAGGAGCATAGGTTGTTGGGTATGTTTGTGCAAGCAGCTAACTGAAACGCTGGAGGCCCCCATAAAAAGTTAACATACCAACTGCTGCCAGATCTGAAGGTGTTACCTAAATCTTTATTTCTTCCAGCTGTTGTTGGGGGAGGCTCTGGATCCTGAGAGGACTGCATCTTTGTACCGCTTTAGAAAGGCCTCATGTGTACTTAGTTAAGCCACAAAAGGCTTTGGTTTTGATTCTGAGTCACTTCGTACGTACCTTTATTTTAAAATAAAAAAAAGATTTTAAAGTCAGGAATATTTGCTGTTTGTCCTAGCAGAAATCTGACAACAAAAGATTTGAGAAACAACAACAGCAACAACAACAATTTTTTAAGAGCTCTATGGTCAGAAGTCAGCTTAATTAAGAGCTGATATTCAGATTACACACACACACACACACACACACACACACACACATACATTTTAAAGGCTTCTCTGTTCTCTTCGGTATCTTATTTCTTTCATAGGATTTTCTTTTTATCTTCACTGAAACTGTCTTTCAATTATATGTTTGATCTCTGTTTGCTTCTTATTGGTATAATTTTTGTTAAGAAAAATGTAAAAGTTCACTGGCCTTTTTGGGGAAGCTTAAGATCTCCACATTCTGGCTCTTCTAAGACTCCTTCCATTTATTTCTGTTCCTTTTGTCACTTTTGATTTTCCATCTACTTCTCTTTAATCATAGATATCTTCTCCTTGAAGCCCATACCACCTCAATTTGACAGTTAGTGGATACAAAATTACTAAGAAGAAACATCAGTATTCTGCCTAGCACATAAAGTGACCTAGAGGAGACTTCTAGCAACCTTGGAACTCCTTGAGGAACATAAAAATATTCCACAGACCTTCTCTTTGGAGTCTTGTCTTCTTTTTGGAGCCCCAAGAGTAGTAGGTGGGTCCGAAGTTTTGTTCTTTTACATTGAACTCCCTGACCGTGGGCTTTTGTGGGTACCAAGGTTTACTTTATGCTATAAGAAAACACTTGATCTTGGGTTTGTGGTAACTAAAGAGTCACTGGCAAGGGCTACAGTTTTTTCTTTTAGAGACAGGATCTCACTCTGTTGCCCAGGCTGAAGTGCAGTGGCATAATCATAGCTCACTGTAACATTAAACTTCTGGGCTCAGGCAGTCCTCCCATTTCAGCCTCCGGAGTAGCTAAGTTACAAGCACACTACCACATCTGGCTAATTTTTAAATTTTTTTGTGGAGACAGGGTCTTCCTATGTCCTCCAGGGTAGTCTTGAACTTCAGACATCAAGCAATCCTCTCACCTCAGCTGGGATTACAGGTGTGAGCCACCATGCCTGGCCAAGAGTTACATCCAGCATTAAAGGTAATTGATAGCAGTTGTAATGAATGATTATTGCTGCGGGGGCTACCCACTTCTTTGCCTGTTCAGATAAGAAAAACCTTAGATTTCTGACTAAGCCAAATAGAAACTGACAATAAATGGCAATTTGTACAATTAAAGTCATTGGTTAGGTTGGTTGTGGGGGATCTCAGAGCTGGGGTCATGACCTGATGCTAGGTTTGGTTTGGGGACCTGGAAGTTGTGGGAACACTCCTCACCAAGGAACAGAACTTCTGGGGATGGGCTGGCTACAGAGTGGGCTAGTTGGACATTGGGTCACCTACTAGCCTTGTGGGGCTATCCTTGCAGCAAAGTGCACTGTGTGAGTATTGTGCAGCCCAGCCCCATGGTGTTTCCCTTTTGGGCTTTTTGATTTTTTTTTACTTGAAAAAAAAATATATATTTTTTTATAAAAACTAAGATGTCCACACATTGGCCTAGGCCTACACAGGGTTAAGATAATCAATATCACTGTCTTCCACATTCATATCTTGTTCCACTGGAAGGTTTTCAGGGGCAATAACACAACTGAAGCTATCTTCTCCTATGATAACAATGCCGCCTTCTGGAATAACTCCTAAGGGACCTGTCTGAGGCTGTCTTACAGCTAACTCTTTTTTTTACTGCCTTTTTCCTGAGGCTAAAGCTAGTCAAGTTGGCTCTGAAGAAAAAACACCACCATAGCTTACATTTGGAGAAACTTTCTACATGCAAATTACAAACCAGAAAAATCTGTCAGATTCATTCACTATGGAGGAAATGGTATCTCATAGTCTCATACACAGTAAATGATTAACTAGAAACGCTTTTTTTCCCGACACATTAAATTTTTTTTTTTTGAGACATTCTCTGTCTATGTTGCCAAGGCTGGAGTGCCCAGGCCTTGGCTCACTGCAACCTTCATCTCCCAGGCTCAAACCATCCTCTCACCTCAGCCTCCCAAGTAGTTGGGACTACAGGTGCATACCACAACACCTAACTTCTGTATTTTTGGTAGAGATGTGGCTTTGCCATGTTTTCCAGGCTGGTCTTGAACTCCTGGGCTCAAGCTATCCTACTACCTCAGCCTCCCAAAATGCTGGGATTATAGGCATGAGCCACTAAGCCCAGTCAGGACACATTAAATTTTTAAAAAATGTTTATTACAAATTCAAAAATATAATAAAAGAATCTCACCCTTTTACATCACCAGGCCTGCTTTCCAGAGGCAACTACTCTTATAATTTATTTTTAGTATTTCTGGCAATTACTATACCCATCTTTAAATGATATGCTCCTCCTAATATTATTATTTTTTTTTTGAGACAGAGTTTCGCTGTTGTTACCCAGACTGGAGTGCAAAGGCACGATCTTGGCTCACTGCAACCTCCACCTCCTGGGTTCAAGCAATTCTCCTGCCTCAGCCTCCCGAGTAGCTGGGACTACAGGCGCGTGCCACCATGCCCAGCTAATTTTTGTATTTTTAGTAGAGACGGGGTTTCACCTTGTTGACCAGGATGGTCTCGATCTCTTGACCTCATGATCCACCCGCCTCGGCCTCCCAAAGTGCAGGGATTATAGGCGTGAGCCACCGCGCCCGGCCAATGTTATTTCTTTAAGTATCAATAACATATCTATTTACTTCCTACAAAGACAGATAAACACTTAGCTCTAGAGAGTTACATATATTTTTTCTTGTACTGGTTACCTTTGCACACTGAAATGATATGCTTACACTTCTACATCGTGTTGTGTAATTTCTTGACTTTCACTTTGTAAGATTTTGGTATTATAGACATAGACTCAATCCATCTTGTTTCTTCTCTTACTACACTCTTCCTTCCATAACTCTGCTGGGCAAAACCTAGGTCTTACAGAATATAATTGTAGCTCTTCTTTAGCACGTTACAGGGCCCCTTATGATCTAGCCTCTGCCTACATTTTTATGTCCTCCCATATGTTCACAGTCATGCTGAAAGAGGTATTTAGTTTTTGGAATCTTTCATGAAGTCCTGTCCTTTTTGTCATTGTTTCATAGCTTTTCATGGCCTGGAATGGCCTCCTCTTGCAATTCACTAGCAATATTTTCTTCAGCCTACATGCTACATTAAGAAATCTTCCCTAGTAGACATCCCTTATTACATCAAAAAGTATCTGAGTACTTTTGTGCAATGCACGGTTTTAAATGTGGGGACTATAGAGGACCAAGACAGTTTGCATTCTAGTGACTTAACAGATTTAATAAATACTACTACCATTATGAAACCTACTATGTGCCAGGATAATACTAAATAACTTACAAATGCTATTTTTAATCCTTACAACAATTTTATAAGCCCTATAAGTGACTGGGCTTATACTCGATCTTAAGTCTGTCTGACTTCACAGCCACTGCTTTTAAGCTATGCTCACTCTGCTCCATTACTCCTTATTCATTTCTATTACAGCATTTGTCATTTGAAATTCTTTGCATATGGATTTCCCCATAGGAACCACAGGAGATAAAAAAATTGACTGTTTTCCCAGGATGGTGCAGAACTAGAGCTATTCTAGATGTATACAAAAGAAGTTAATACATTACACACAATGGGTGCTGAAAGGCATTAGGGATTAATTGTCTCTTGAAATCCCAGGTGGAGAAGGGCTGCTTTGGATGGAAGACCTTTTAAGGGCCTTTTAAGGGTAGAGACATCTGCCACTTAGTGGGTGGTTGATAAATTTTTGTTGGACTTTCATATACCCTACTCGTGGGTTTAACTACAAACGGACCATTAGTGTTAGGCACCAAAAACTAATGGTATATGAATGTCTTTTTTTTAAATGTTAAAATGTGTTGTCTATTTAATAAGTTAATTAAAATGCAGATGAAAGCACCACCATTTGCTTTTTCCACAGATTGATAACATTTCCTTAAAGTATGTAAGTAGTTTTGCAAATGCAAATGTACTAGTAATTTTCATATCAGCTTTTGAGACCTAATTCCATTCCACCAGTTGTCTTAGCCATTGTAATTTAAAAACAAACCACAGACACTGTCTTAATAGAGGTCATTGTTAATTGGACTCAACATGTGCTGCCTTTTTGCAGTCTGTTACCGCAGTGTCTTTTGGCACAAATAATAGAGCTAAAAAATATGCTGTCACTTCAATGATAAGAAATCTGGACTCATATCTAAAAGTGTGTATTATAATGCTGTACAGTTAAGAGTTCGGAACAAGTGGTAATGTTTTAATTTAACTCATATTGTGCCTTCTTTACTCAAACACACATACATTTTACATATGGTTTAACATGTTATTTCTTTGTTAAATGCTACTCTTCAGCCCATACCAAAAAATAAAGATAAAAAGAGGAGAGCCTCTTTGCACTACTACTATCAGTCACTTTTAAATTAGTTGGATTTTTAAGCATTTTTTAAAAGCTCACATTAAAGTAAAAAACAAAAGTTTAAAAACTGGCCAAGACACTAATTTTTATGTATAATCACAATCTTATATACTTACCTTTATTGACTAAATTATGCTACATGTTAAGTCCTGCATCAGAAGAATTCTTTCTTCTTGACATGTTTTGGGATTTGAAGATAATGGTTCACTCGAAGAACTTATTGTTTTCTCTACTGAGGAACCCAATGTAGAACTTGCACTGATATTTTTATTACTGCCTTTATATGAATCTATAGGTATCTAAATGTTAAGGCATGTATGATCTTTGATAATTTCTTTTTTCAAATTAAAGTTTTATTTTTTTTTATTAAAAAAAAAAAGTAGAGATCCAAGATGGCTGATCGCTAACAGCTCAAGATTGTAGCTCCCAGTGAAAGCGCAGAGGAGAGGACGCCACACTTTCAGACGAATTTTCGTTGCTCACGGACCAGAAGATTCCCAGTAGAGGAGTCCCATGGGATGCCAGCGCGACTCTTGTGGCTGGCACAGCAGTTTTGCCGACACCTCAGCACAGCAGCTCTTGGTGCAGAGTAAATGGGACTGGTTCCCCTTCTGACCCACATTTGGAGCTCCGGGAAGACAGAGTCGCCTATTATGGACTCAAGAAGGAAGCCAAATCTGAGATTCCTGGGCAGAAGCGCACCATCAGTCTTAATGCCGCTGTTTTGGCCGGCGCAGTGGGTTGCTCAGATTCCGGTGCTGGGAATCAATAAATTGGACATCCACTCAGAGACCTAATTAGAAAGGCGGTAATTGTAAAGACGACAGATGGATAAATTTATAATGAAGGGAAGAAACCAGCCTAAAAAGGCTGAGAAGACCCAAAATCAGAATGCCTCTCCCTCTACAGGGGATTAAAGTTCCTCATCAGCAACGGAACAAGGCCTGATGGAGAAGGACTGTGTTCCATTAACAGAAGTAGGCTTCAGAAGGTGGATGATAAGAAACTTCTGGGAGTTAAAAGAACTTGTTCTAACCCAATGTAAAGAAACTAAGAACTTTGAAAAAAGGTTTGACGAAATGCTAACAAGAGCAGACAATATAGAGGGGAATATAAATGAATTAATGGAGTTGAGAAACACAACACGAGAACTTAGCGAAATATGCATAAGTTTGAATAGCTGAATTGATCAAGCAGAAGAAAGGATATCAGAGGTCGAAGACCAACTTAATGAAATAAAACGAGAAGACAAGAATAGAGAAAAGAGGATAAAAAGGAATGAGCAAAGTCTCCAAGAAATATGGGACTATGTGAAAAGACCTAATTTACGTTTGATAGGTGCACCTGAATATGACGAAGAGCATGAATCCAAGCTGGAAAATACTCTTCAGGATATTATTCAGGGAAACTTTCCCAACCTAGCAAAGCAGGACAATATTCAACCCCAGGTAATACAGAGAACACCACAAAGATATTCCTCAAGAAGAGCAACCCCAAGGCACATAATCGTTAGATTCACCAGGGTTGAAACGAAGGAGAAAATACTAAGGGCAGCCAGAGAGAAAGGTCAGGTTACCCACAAAGGGAAGCCTTTCAGACTTACAGCAGATCTCTCAGCAGAAACCCTACAAGCCAGAAGAGAGTGGGGGCCAATATTCAACATCCTTAAAGAAAAGAACTTTCAGCCCAGAATTTCATATCCAGCCAAACTAAGCTTCACAACTGAAGGAAAAATAAAATCTTTTATGGACAAGCAAGTACTCAGAGATTTTATTACCACCAGGCCTGCTTTACAAGAGCTTCTGAAAGAAGCATTACACATAGAAAGGAACAACCAGTGTTAGCCTTTCTAAAAATATACCAAAAAGTAAAGAGCATCAACAAAATGAAGAATTTACATCAACGAATGGACAAAACAGCCAGTTAACATCAAATGGCAGTAATCCTAAATTTAAATCGACTAACTCCCCCAATCAAAAGATACAGCCAAAACCCAACGGTATGCTACATCCAGACCCATTTCACATGCAAGGATACACAAAGACTCAAAATAAAGGGATGGAGAAAGATTTACCAACCAAATGAAGAGCAAAAGTAAATAAATAAATAAAAAGCAGGAGTTGCAATTCTCGCATCTGATAAAATAGATTTTAAAGCAACAAAGATAGAGTGGTAAAAGGATCAATGCAACAATAAGAGCTAATGATCCTAACACCCAGATACATAAGACCTATAAAGAGACTTAGACTCCCTAGACTCCCACACAATAATACTGGGAGACTTCAACATCAATATTAGATAGATCAACGAGACAGAAAATTAATAAGGATATCCAGGACTTGAACTCAGATCTGGAACAAGTAAATTTAATAAACATTTATAAAGCTCTCTACTTTAAATACACAAAATATACATTCTTGTCAGTACCACACACACACACACACACAAAGTTCAGTCGCACTAGCTAAAGTGCTTAGAAAAAAAAAAGAAAAAAATTTTCATTGGACTTGTTATTTAAACCTTTGCAATTAATATATATTCAAAAGTATTATTTTGGGGTTGAAAAGTGAGCTGTGTTAGTCTTGCTTTCGAAGATGGCTTTGCAGTAGGAATTAAGCATTTAGTTTTTTTCCTTAAGAGAACTCCAAGGGTGTTGGATCCAAACTTTGAGAGGCCAAAGAATGCACAGACTCTGGAGGCAGATCATCCAGATTCAAATTCCAGTCTCCCTGTTTATTAGTTATATAAATTTAAGCAAGTTATTATTTAACATGTGCCAGATACTTTTATAAATACACTATTACCTGCTTTAATCTTCAACACTTCTATTTAGTAGATACCTTTACTATTTCTTTACTAGCTCCATGCCTCAGTTTCCTCTTCTATTAATTGTGGATAACAACAAATTACCTCACAGAGTTACTGTCAGGATTAAAAGAGTGTAAAATGCTAAGAATACTACCTTGCATGTAGAAAGTTAGCTATTAGTAACGTTGAGACTGTGGCTAGGGTAGAAAAATCAGTATAACTTACTAAATTTTTCATTTTATGTTAACATTCATTTCAAGGGCACAGATGGAATTCTTTGGAATAGGCACTAAATCTTAAGCACTTCCCGGTCAAGCTGGCTCTGCATCTCTAAGGGAAAACCCAGTGGCTGGTGTTGAAATGAAAAATGTAGGAAAAAATATTTCTGAAATCTGGACACTTTTCTGCAACTCCTCTGCTATCTCCCAAGTCCACATTATCATTATCTTTTGCTGGGATCTCTTGCAATAGTCTCCTGACTGGTTCAGTGGCCGCCTCCTTGACTGCCTTTACTTTCTCCAAGAGATTAACGTTTTCAAAAGATAGTTGGACATTGGATGTACCATGCCCATGCTTAACACCGGTTATCCAGTAAGCATTTCATAATACTCAAGTCAGTAACTTGGCTAAGACTTACAGGGTCTGGCCTTGGCTCATGCCTCCAAAATCACTCTCCTCTACTGTTCCCCATGGTCTTCATCCAGCCACATCAGCCTTCATTCATTGTTCAACAAATATTGATTTGCTTGTCTTGTGTTTATAGAGTCACTGAGTATACATTAGTGACCAAGCAAAATACAGTTCCTATATTCACAGAACTTACATTTTAGGGGATAGGGGAATAACAACAATTGCTAGTTGTAAAAAGCATAAAAATGAAATTGAACCTGCAAATAAAAAAAGAGGGCTCACTTGCCATACAGTAGTCAGGAAAGTCTTCTTTAAGAAGGTACTATTTTAGATGTAATCTAAAGGATGAAGGGAAGTGCCACGTGTTGAATGGGGAAGACAGAATTCAGGTAGAGGGACTGTGCAAAGGTTCATACATGCAGGAAAGAAGTTGGTGTTTGAGGTATCCAGAGCAGATCAACTTACCGTACAGTTAGTGGGGAGTGATCTCAGCAAACACCTGATTGTGCAGGGCCTGGGAGGTCATGAAGATCAGAACTTTATTCCTTTTTTCCCCCCTCCTCTTTTTATTTTAGAAAATCTGTTATTTTAAAAAGTTGTAAGAGTGGTATGATATACACCATTATACCCTTCACCTAGATTCATCAGTTACTAATATTTTGCCACATTTGCTTTCTCTATTTTATTTTTTGCCATATCTTTGGAAGGTAAGCTGCAAACTCTGTGACACTTTGCTGCTAATTACTTCAGCAAGCTCCTTCCAAAAACAAAGGCATTCTTCCACTTAATCACAGATTCATTCTCATGTACAATCAATTTAAAACTGATTCAGTATCAACTAATATATAGTTCATATTTGAATTTCCCCAATTGTCTACAAATGTCTTTCCCCAGTTACTTAAAAAAAAAATTCGAATCGGGTGTGGTGGCTCACACCTGTAATCCCAGCGCTTTGGGAGGCCCATGTGGGTTGGTCACCTGAGGTCAGCAGTTAGAAATCAGCCTGGCCAACGTGGTAAAACCCTATCTCTACTAACAGTACAAAAATAAAATCAGCTGAGCGTGGTAGCAGCTGCTTGTAATCCCAGCTACTTGGGAGGCTGAGGCAGGAGAATGGCTTGAACCTGGGAGACCGAGGTTACAGTGAGTCGAGATCGCACCATTGCACTCCAGCTGAGCGACAAGAGCCAAACTCAGTCTCAAAAAAAAAAGGAAAGGAAAGAAAAGTACACATCTATGAACCAACCAAGATTCACAAATTTCATTTGGTTTCTTTTGACTCTCGACAAAAGCAACCCTTCACTTCGGTTCTTTCTTTTTCCTGTCATGACACTGACACTTCTGAAAAGCCTAGGCCTGTTGTTTTGTAGAATAGTCTACATTGCTTTTTTTCCTGATTGTTTCTTCATGATTAAAATCATGTCAAAAATTTCTAGCACAAATAGTATTAGGTAATATTAGTGATGTTAAGTATCTTCACTTGGTTAAGGTATGTCTAATAAATCTCTTCAGTGGACAATTATATTTTCCCTTTATAATAAGAAATGACCTGTAGGGTGATTCTTTGAGATACTAACATTCTCTGCTCCGACAACCTTTCAGTTAATGTTTATTTTAGCATCTTGCATTCATTAGTTTTAGCATTCATAAGCTTACCTACATCAATTTTTAGACCGGCAGCTGCAAAATGGGGACGCAGCCAGGGAAGCGACCCTCCGGATCCCGGGATGCGGGGCCTTTTTAGGCCCCGTAGGGACAGGACTGGGAAGTGGCTAGCCGACCATCTCAGCCCGTCCGTAGGGGAGTCGCAGGGCTAAGTGCTGTGGCAGCGGCCTCACCTCCGGCCTTTGCCATAGCTTCATTGCCTCGAGACAAAATCAGAGATCGGCGTCCCAGTCAACAGTGTGGTACTTAATAACAGCCGCGAGAAAACGCCCATTTGCTTGGCGAGCCGAGCTTGTCGGCAACCGAGACTGCCTTCGCCCATTGGCTGCCCGAGTTTCAAGACCCGCCTCCATATTCGAAAGCTTCTTCCTGGAGCCACTGGAAAGCCCGCAGCGCGAGCGGGCTGGGCTCTCGGGTGGCGCTCCGAAGCCCCACCCACTCCCAGCGTTCAGTGCGGTGCCCTGGCCGCCATTGTTTGAATTTGAAAACGGTAGCTTCTCGGCGCCGCTCGCGGGTCGGGCTATCCAGTCGACCTTTGCAGGTGAGGGGTTGAACTGGCCGGGGAGAGGCGAGGGGTGGAGGTGGGTGACTGCGCATATATGGGGCCTAAGATGGGGAAACGGCTTTAGCAGTGTGGACATCTTTCGACAGTAACCTCGTACCCCCGTGGACTCTCAGGAACTGGGTTGCGGACCGATAGGAACACCGGGTACACAGCGTGGACTGAGTCATACTAATTCGGTTAGTGTTTAAATCTCGCCTTCACTGCTTATTAGCTGAGTGACTCAAGACAGTTCATTTAATGTCTCTCTGTACCTTAGTTTTCTTAATCAGTTAAAAGGCGGCAATAAAGTACGTCTTTCGGCTTTCGTGAAGATTAAATGGTAATGTGTAAAGTTGTTAGTGCTGGCACACAAATGTTTGCAGTCATTAATATTGTTGTTGCTTCTGTTGTTGAGAAACAGGCCTCTTTTGCCACACCTAGTTTTCTGACGCTCTGAGGTGGGCAGTTTGTTCGGCTGGTAGGTAACACAGCCTTTTTTTGCGGGGGGAGCCCTGTGGTGGCCTCTGTGCACTTATTTCCGGACTCCTGGTGCTTCGGGCTTGCCCTTCTAGGGTTTTGCAGTGCCAGGCTGAAGAGTTTGTGGCACAGTGACTGCTGTGATCCCAAGTTTAGAAGGCTTTCTCCATTTCGATTCACTCCCTGGTTCAGTGATGGCTGTCTGGCACAGTTCTCTAATATTCCTTGCTAAAGTACTAGTTGTCACAAGTTCATGCGTTATGGGTTAGGTAGTGTAACAGTGTATGTATTTTATTACAGGTCCACGATTTGTAAATTGCAAAAATAACATAAAATATTCATCACTTAGTTGTGAAGACTGTTTTTGAGGCTGTGTGTTGTGGATCACATTCAGAAACCTCATTCAGTAGCAGATTCTGCTGTTTTCACCAAAGTCTCCAATTGTGGATTCTTATTGGAGAGAAGATAAATAAAGATGCAGTTTTCCAGTCAGAGCAGAAATGAAATGAAAAATGAGGTCTTGAAGTCTGCTGTCACAAAAGATAATATTACAGACTAGGATTTTTTCTTTTTTTTGTAGAGAGTATTTTCTTTATAACCATTATTTTAAGTCATTAGTCAGGGAGTCTTTATTATTACATAAGTCGTTGAATTTGTTGTAGGGAATACAGAATGGTATAAGACAAGGTTCTTGGCATCAACAAGTTACCAGTTTAGTTGGGAAGCCCATGAATAAGTAGAAGTCATTTAAAATTGCAAGAAGTTACAGTAGATCTCAACAGTTTTAGAAATGCTAGGAAGTAGTTTGTTCATTGAAAAATGAACATATGAACAAATACTTCTTTATTATAACTGCTTGTTAATATATAGGAATGTTCTTTTTAATTCAGCAGTTTAAAAGATTTATGAACAATTTTCTTTAAACCAAACATTATTATTTGAAGCCACAGATGTTTTTTAATTTTCTGGGAATTTCCATGAACTTTGTGTTATGAAATGTCAAGCTGGTACATTAACATTTTGCAAACGCCCCCGCCCCATGATCTAGATCAGTGCTTTCCTTAGTCCTTTTGCAAGTGAGGGGAAAAAAAATCCAACCATGTTCTTGTGATGAGTTTGTGAATTTCAGCCTGATCAAGGAAAAAGATGACAACAAGGAACTTTATTTGGGCAGGGCTTTTACAGAATTATAGGCAAAGGAAATCCCTCTCAGTATGGGACCTTTTCTAGACCAGGTGAGGGGCTACCATCCAGAGGGGAAAGAAGGAAAGGGGAATGGGGCGAGGTACAGAAAAGAATCATAGAGGGGCTTAGATGTCTAAGTGATGTTGCACAGTGGAGAGTCTCTGGATCGTGGAACTCTCAAGGGCAGCAGTGGCCTTGATTGTCCCAGGTTTTGTATGTCTGGCAAATGTTGGGTGCAGTTTCATGGGACATTCAAACCTAGCAGGCTCTAAATGGCTAAAAATATGCTTATTTTGGGCTATATTGAAAGCAGATGAATGCTTCAGAATTAGAGTTTGGCACCCCAGCAGGCTTTTAAATTTTTATTTTAAACATTTGTGGTCCTTGATCCAGTGGGCTTTTGAGCTAAGGTCCCTACGAGCTGTGAAGAAATATACAATGTAGGTCCGTTATACAAGGGCCATCTTTGGTCCATTTTATGTAATACCTGTGGGTGGTTGATTATTACTACTTTCTTGAACTACGAACCTTAGTTTGGTAGTCACCTATCTGGATGTTTTGTTATCTTGTCAAAAAACAGCAAAGAGTCTTCCCCCTCTCCCTAGAACTGTACACCTAGTAGATTCTCAGTAAATACTAGAATGTTAGTATTTTTCAGTTAAGATTATCCTTAAGTTTACCTTTGAGTTTAGTGATTTGATGTTTAATTCAATTGTAGTAGTTTGCTGATGCATTATTCCTATTTACCGTAAAACCTGTGATGTGTCAGGTATTGTTTTGAATGTGTTTACATGTATTGTTTAACTTTTTACTTGAATTTGAAAGTAATTTTTCAGATAACTGAGTTTAACTTTTAAATACTAAAAGAAGGTCTGTAAGTAACTTTCTCTACAGGAGTCACTAAGTAAATAACATAAGGTAATCATTTACTCTGTGATCTCCTTTGAGTTTTGAGAGGATTTCAGGGAAAGAGTAAACATTTTACCCCATCTTTACAGGTTACCTATACTCATGAAACCTCTTTGAATGGTTATCCTATGAAAATAGTAGGCTGTGTTTAGAATTATTAGATACAGAGTCTGTTGATGTTTTTTCTTTCCTGTAGGCCATTGTGTTACAAATGAAGCAATGTAATGGTTTTCTTTTCTAAAATCTAGTTATTTGGAGGAAAGTAGTGGGCTAGATTTTTTAAAGTGTGGGTGGCTTACATGCTGACTTATTAAGGTTGTTAAAGAAATTGCTGTTATTCTTGCAGAATGGAATCTAATTTTAATCAAGAGGGAGTATCTCGACCATCTTATGTTTTTAGTGCTGACCCAATTGCAAGGCCTGCAGAAATAAATTTTGATGGCATTAAGCTTGATCTGTCTCATGAATTTTCCTTAGTTGCTCCAAATGCTGAGGTAAGTACAAGGAAAGTATTGGGTTGATTATCATGACTGAGTGGAAATATTTGTGTATGCATATGACTGGAAGAGTTTCTCAGACTTTCTGGGTTTAAGGCAACCTTATATCTCAGTACTTTTTCATGGAGTCCTACACCAAAATGACTATATAACAGTTCCTTTTCAAGTAGTAGATCTAAACAACAAGTATCTATGCCATAACCTAGTAGCCATATGACACAAGCTTAAAAAATTTTTTTTTTCATTCTTTGGAGACAAGATGTTGCTTTGTCACCCAGGCTGGAATGCAGTATTGTATTCATGGCTCACTGCAGCCTCAACCTCCCAGGTTCAAGCAATCCTCCTTCCTCAGCCTCCTGAGTATCTGGGACTATAGGTGTACTCTACAATGCCTGGCTAATTTTTGAAAATTTTTTGTAGAGGCAAGATCTCACTGTGTTGCCTAGGTTTGTGTCCACCTCCTGGGCTTAAGTGATCCTCCTGTCTCAGCCTCCCAAAGTGCTGATTACAGGTGGGATCCACTGCATCTGGCCAAAAAATTTAACATTTCATTCTCTGATAACTACAATTCCTTACTAATGAGATATGTATCCTTTTGCACACTGGACAATTTCTCAAACCTTAGAATCAGATTAGATACTACCACCCACATTTCTTGTTCTTTGTTGTTTTCATGTAATACTTCCTCTTTATCACAGCAATGACTGAGAGATCCAGTTTAGCAGAGAGTTGACACATCAAAAGAGATAGTGTGATCTCATGTTGAAACTGAACTCCTTGAGCTAATAGTTCATGGTGTTCCTTGTATGTCAAGTATTGCCGTGATTTCGCCAAAGATGTGAAACATTCCACTATGCCTCTAGGAACTGTGGACCTTCATTTTGAAAATTATGCAGATTTTTTCAAACTAGAAAAAACTTAGTAGTGTTTAGACTAAGAAGAATCCTTCTACCACCCTACTTACTACTGGTGTAATGTTTGCTTTTGTGTCTTTGTAGACTTTATACATTTACTTTTCAATCCATTCATAATTTGTTTGTTACATTTTATGCTAATTTTTGGTGCCTTAGAGATAACTAACCCATTTATAAAGAATGATGGAAGAGGAAAGGGGATTTAGGATTATAATAAAATAACAGTTCTTATTTAATACCTGTTGTGTCAAGCTCTTTTAAACTTCAACTTACTAAATCATAAATAAATAAAGTAAGAGAGAGGGAAGAAAGAAAGGAGGGAATTCTGATAAGTGTCTCTTGGCATATAAATGGAATTATATGTCATGTAGCTGTTTGTATCTGCCTCCTTCTACCTTCTAATGCAAGGGTTGGCAAACAACGGCCTGTTTTTGTATTGCCTGTTTTTATATTTATATACAAGCTAAGAAGGGTTTTTATATTTTTAAATAGCAAAAGAAAAATCAAAATAGGAATAATGTTCCATAACATATAAGTTATATGAATTTCAAACATCACTATCCATAAATAAAGTTTTATTGCATCACAACTATACTTGTTGGTTTACTTTTTACTACATCTGTTGTGGCACTGTAACAGCAGAGTTGAGTAGTTATGACAGAGACTGTAGGGTCTCTAGAGCCTAAAATATTAGCTATCTGGCTCTTGACAGAGAAAATTTACTGACTCCTGAGTTGGCATGATGTTTTTGAGATGTATCAGGGATCATATAGTAGTTAGTTCCTTTTTATTGCTAAGTAGTTGTCTGTTGTGCAGATAAGCCACATTTCCATTTACCAT